CCGCCCCCCCCCCCCGCACACACGCGCCAGGCGGTGGGGGAGGAGGGGGTAAGGGCAGGCGCCGGCCAAGCTCCAGGGAGGCACCAACAAGTGACGGAGCTGACAACGTGGCCCTGTCCCTCGGCCCGCAGTCCTCCAGACACGACTCAGCCTCCCGGGGAGGCCTGGCGACGCATCCCACAGGCACGCGGGCATTCCATCCGGGAATTCCATGGGCAGGGGCGGGGTGGCCGCCCCGCCCGGGGGGAGGGGAAGGACCGTCCCAGGCGTCCGGGGGAGGGGAGCGCGGAGGCGGAGGGGCAAATGCGTGAAATGCAGAAGCTGCCGCTCAGCACACACCCACGGTGACTGAGCCGCAGAGAAACGTTAGGTGACCCAGCGACCATTTAGGGAATATTCACCGTCTGACCACAGACACACGAGGCCACATTAGACCGATTGGCCAGCAGGATTAGAGCCTGACTGGCCAGCACGCTCTTACTCGGGCCGTGACCGGCCGGGACTTGGTGAGCAGGCCACCGACACGGACGCCCACTGGCCCTCAGGAGGCCGGGGGTCCGCAAGGAGCTAAAATGCACCCTGGATTTCAAAAGCTTGAAACAAAGCGAGCGGAGCGCCAGGCAGGACGCGCAGACGGCACCTCAGTGGGGCCCGAGGGAGGACCCACCGGAGACCCGAGGATGGACGTCATGGCCACAAAGGCGCACGGGGCCGAGAGTCAAAGCCCACCCGGGCAGAACGAGACCGCTCTGCTCTGTGGACGCGGAGGGAAGGGGCGCCGGGCCCACGATGTCCCCGAGTGTGGGCAATCGAGGAGGAGCGGGTGCAGGGCGAGCGGGGCCAGCGGGGGGCCGGACAGGTGAGGGCCCCGGCAAAGTCACAAAGTGCAGGGAGAAGGCTGCGGGCAGAGGCCCAGGGCTGCTCCCGCCGGAGACAAACACGCAGAAGGGGGTAGGGTGCGGGGAGACGAGCCTGCGGGCATTGGGTGAGGAAGGGCTACTGTGTGGGGAGCTGGCCTCTGACCCACGCAGACAGGGGCAGCGCCCCTCACTGGGGCCTCCTCCCCAGGTGCCCTGGGACGACCTCCGCTACCTGTTTGGGGAGATCATGTACGGCGGACACATCACGGACGACTGGGACCGCCGGCTGTGCAAGACCTACCTGGTGGAGTACATCCGGGCCGAGATGCTGGAGGGCGAGATCCAGCTGGCCCCCGGCTTCCAGATCCCCCCCAACCTGGACTACAAGGTGAGGAGGCTTCCCGGGGGACAGCGGGGACGGGTCAGTGCGTCCTGGCCGACTGCCTGGTGAGAGCCTCACGTCACGGAAGGAATGTCAGGAACTGAGCCAGAAGCAGGAACCAGATGGGGGACTGGGGGCGGGGAAGCACCCGGGAGGGGGCTAGGGCAGCAGTGGGGTGCACAGAGGGTGGGATGTGGGCAGAACATTCTGGTAAGAAGGTCCTTGCTGACCCCACCCCCACCCCCATCTCAGGGTTACCACGAATATATCAACGAGAACCTGCCCCCCGAGAGCCCCTACCTGTACGGCCTGCACCCCAACGCGGAGATCGGCTTCCTGACGGTCACCTCGGAGAAGCTGTTCCGCACGGTCCTGGAGATGCAGCCCAAAGAGACGGACTCAGGCGCCGGCACCGGGGTGTCCCGCGAGGAGAAGGTGGGGGCCTGACGTGCAATCCACCCAGTGACAGTGAAGGGCAGTGTCCGGAGCCCGGGCTCACCAAGTGCACCCCGATTGGCAGAAGCCCCTCAGAACCTGTTAGCAACCACACAACCCCCCGGCCCTCGGTGACCCCACGACCTTGGTGACCCCACAGGGGAGGATGCAGGTGCCTGGCTGAAGGTACCAGAGGCTCCCCTGACACAGCCACAGGCCTTGCCAACAGGCCGCGACACCCTCCCCCACCGTGTGTGCTGCTGTGCTCTGGCCACGCCGTGTGCCTTTGCTCCCGGTTAAGGCTGTGCTGGACGAGATCCTGGAGAAGATCCCGGAGTCGTTCAACATGGCCGAGATCATGGCGAAGGCGGCCGAGAAGACGCCCTATGTGGTGGTGGCCTTCCAGGAGTGCGAGCGCATGAACATCCTGACCAACGAGATGCGCCGCTCGCTCAAGGAGCTCAACTTGGGGCTGAAGGTAAAGGGAAGACGGGTCAGCTGGGCCCGAACGTGACGCGGGAACTGGGCTGGCCCCGACGGGTCAGCTGGCC